CTTTTTGTCCTATTGATGTGAATTCTTGTCCCACCTGTTTGGGTGGGACAAAAGAACTATAATTGTTGTCTCATTGACATCAGTTCCAGTCCTAGTCCACTACATGCCAAATTCAGTACAACCTGTTTAAAAACTAATTTTTATTGTTTGAATTATAATTTTGACGGATTTTATTATAACCGTAAAAATCTTTTAGGCATGGATATTGAGAGTAGGGAGGAAGAAGTTGCTTCACCTCAAAATGCATCTTCCACTTCTCGAATATCAGTAATTTCATTAGTAGCTCCAATCGAAGAAGAAGAAGCATTGCAGAGTCAAGAAGTGAAAACCAATGGTGATGATGTGGAAAAAGTGAGTTCTTCGGACAGTATTTCAACGATGCGTGTGGAAGAAAATAAAACAGATGATGATGATGCTTGGGATGATCTTGATCACAACATGATAGATTTAAATATAATGCACGAAGAGACATTAGAAGCGTCCATTCTTGACCTTGAAGAACTTGCAAATAGAATAAAATGGCTTAAGAGCATTCTTGATAACGGTCGATCAAATTCAGGATCATGGAAGTTTGAAGGAGAAAGTTGATTGTTTTTAGACTTTTGTTGTTGTTTGTTGCTAAAGTACCAAGGTGAAGCAAGTTGGGTGTTGTGACTACTATTAGTGTGTGTATGGCTTAAAAACTTGTTAATTGGGGTCTTTTGGTAATTAGTGAATGGAATTTCTCATTTTTACTAATGTGATTTTATTTGATTGTGCCATCCATAAGTAAGGTTAAATAATCATTTCGGCTAAATACAAAGAGAAATGAAATTGGATCATGTGTGTAACGTCCTGTTCTAAATCAATTCCTAGTATGAGGCTGTGGCTCGAAGGTCGGTCATTATAAGGATTATGGTTCTTGGGAAGGTAAGATCTAGACCCATTTGGGTGCGGGTGATGTATTAGAAGTGATCCGGGTGTTCGATTCGTGTTTTGGAACCTAGGGGTATTCCGGTAGAGTGGCAGTTCGGGCTTTTGTGGAAAATGGATTTTTGTTCGGAAGGTCTTAAGAACGGTTTGAGTTGATAGAAGTGTAGGGCTTCTTGCCACCTTTCTGTGGATATAAAAGTTCATCGAAAACGGACTTAGAACGAGGAAGTTATGATACTTTGAAGTTGTTGGCAGAATTGGTCCTTAAATGGAAATGTTTGGCAAGTAGGTGCCATGCATGCAAGGTGGCCAACGTATGAGTACGCCCAGCGTAATCTGGGGTACGCCCAACGTACTGCTGGTTAAGTGAATCGCGGGTGCGGGACACGTACGCCCAGCGTACAGGGAGTACGCCCAGTGTACATCCAGGATCTCCAAAACCCTAATTCTTAGGGTTGACTCACTATTTAAAGCACCTTAAGTCCGAGGGGGTGCGCCTCTCTTTCATTCTCAGAATCTTAAACCCTAAATTCGAGTGGTAGCTTCATCTAAGGGTATTGTGAGCTTTGTGGGTGCATTTTTGGTGGTTTTTGGTGAACTTCAAGAAGTGGGAGCTCATTACAAGGTGTTGGTGCAAAAGAGAAGTTTCAGATCTGGGATTGTTGCTTCACTTCAGGCCTTTGCAAGGTATAAAGTCATGAGCTTGATTAATATCTTAGATCTCCTTTAGGATGAGCTTATAGACTCTTTTGGTCCCAAGAATGGATCTTTATGAGTCAAACACGTTTCTAGGTCCAGGGTTGCCACCCTTAGTGTCATATGAGTCCTTTATGCAGTAAAGTTTCAATCTTCGGGGCTCATTTGGGACCATGCATGAGATCTAGCCCTTTTCATGGAAGTTTGTTGTCATATTTCAAGTTTGGGCTCATTTGGTGGGTTGAAAGCCACCAAGTCATCAACTTTATGGATTAAGACGTTGAAGAGGACTAGGATCTGTAATTGTAGCTTCTGGATCGGGGTATTAAGCACTTAATGGGAAAAGTGGTTTAACAGAGGAGTACGCTGGGCGTACATGCAGGTACGCGCAAAGTACACCACATTCAGCCAGTACGCTCAGCATACATAGGAGTATGCCCCGCGTACACATCAGTTTTGGGCTCGGTGTGTTTTGGGCCTCGGGTTGGGCCAAGCAGTGGACGTTGGATTGTTGGGCCTTAGTGGGCCATCAGAAGTCAGATGTTTTTGGCCAAGGATATGTTTGGGCCTAGGGTAAGGCCCATTAGAGGGATTAAGCCCAATTTAGCACATTGGGCCATTAGTGGGCCACTAGTGGGCTTGGAAAGCCTACATAGTGTTGGGCTTTTGTGTTGGGATTGGGCCTTAGTTTGGATCATACTGGGCCAGGGGTAGAATGATCATTTTTCCCCATGCATGAATTAAGGATTATGGTATGGGACCCAATTGCTAATTGGGTATATTGATTGGTAGTGACAGCTCGGGAAGCTGGCGGGGCAGCAATAAGGAATTCATGCGGGAAGCTTCTGCAGTGCGAAGTGAGTCTTCTCACCATACCAATGGGTCTAAGGCACCACTGCCGGCCCATTTATTTAGTTGTGATGATTATTGTGAATGTGCTATCGATACGTTATGTATTATGTATGTGACCATGTGGGGGTTCCCATGACATTTAGTTATATGTGGTATGCTAGTTGATTGCGTGGTATTTGATATGCTAGTTGTCTTTGTGATGCTTACATGGAAGACCCCGGGAGATTCCCGTGGCAGTGGATTGTGACCATGTGGGGGTTCCCATGGCACATGGTATAAGACCCTGGATGGTTTCCATGACATCCTAGTACGTTTGTCCGTTTATTTTGCATAATTTGTATTTGGTAGTGTAGACCGCGTGGGGGTTCCCGCGGCAATTAGCCAAGACCATGTGGGGGTTCCAGTGGCGGCTAGTCAAGACCACGTGGGGGTTTCCCGTGGCGTTTGGTGTAAGACCTTGGAAGGTTTCCACGACATCCCTATATGTCTATATGCATGGCTTATGTGATATATGTAGCTTTTTAAGCTAATATGGTATGTGTTATGTAGATTTTGTGTGGGGTATGCCCTGGGGGACTCACTAAGCTTCGTGCTTACAGTTTTGTTTATGGTTTCAGGTATCATCGATTTGGAAATGAAGAGCTCGGATTGATCGCAGTGCACACACTTATGATTTCCGCAATGAAAGATTTTGGGATGAACTCTGATAAATGTTTTACTTAATGATGATTTGAAATGTTTGAAATAAATGGTATCAATGTTTTAGCTATATTAGAAATTAAATTTTTTACCTTTGAAAATTGGGTCGTTACAAGTTGGTATCAGAGCCTTGGTTTGAGGGATTCGGACAGACTTTCGGGTGAGTCTGAACTCAAACTGAGGATCTGTAAAGTTTTCAAAAGAAAAATCTTTTTAAGTAAAGAATTTCTAAAACAAGAAAGGGTGTGGCGCATGCAATCGGCCGACCTCAAGTAAGTTTCCCAGAATACCCACATTTGTTATCTGTTATGATTTGATTTATGAATCTGAGAATCGCATGCTAGTTAAGGCTAGGAGAGATGCCTTTATATGTTGTATGAACTGGTAGACTTGCATGCTAGTGCTGAGTTGTCAGCGATAGATTGGCCTGATATGAGATGCTTGTAGTCTTGGAGTACTGGATGCCATGCTAGAAGGAGAATGATTCTCGGTATTGATAACTGTTAAGTGTATGTTTTAAAAATTGTATACAATTAGGACTCGTTTCCTGTTCTGTGTACAATTTGCATGCATAAAGGCAGCCAACAGTGAGGATGTATGGACGTGGACATTGTGGGTTGTGGTATGTGGGCCAAATGTTTTATGATAATTCTTGGATTGGAGTGCTACTGCACGAATGCTGCTTTCTTTGTGCTTTGTGGAACTCTTGAGTGATGGGAGTAAGCTACTAAGTGGATATGACGATATCCATGAGGTGGATGGCTGACATCATGGGGAGTTCTTCAGCAGCTGATGGCACGGCGAGGTTGGGAACCTAGGAAAGCCTAGGATATGCTCCAGTGAGCTTAGTGGGGCAGTTCAGTGAAGTTGGGAACCTAGGAGGAGCCTAGGAGGTGCTACGGTAGAGATTGTCTTGCTGTTTCGCAAACGTTTAGTATACCGGTGGAGTAAGTGACTTAAAGGATTCGGGAGGATTACTGAGGAAAGTATGGGTAGGTGTGGAAGATAGTATTGGGCCCGTACTACTGAAAGCACATGATCCATACTCGAATCGGTAAGAGTCTTGGAGAATCTGAGAAGCTTACGGGAAGGAGAATTCTTGGTTATGATTGGACGTGGGGGATAGCTGCGGTGCAGAATGCGGATGAGAACGCATGGGTGGAACCAGGGTTTGGTCCCAGCTCCAGTGGTGAGCCAGTTAGCGGAAGGACTGCCAGAATTTGAGGTCGCCTTGGATCTCTTGTATCAGGCGGCAAGGATTGATGGTGTGATCTATTGCACTTTTGGAGTTTGAAACTATGTCTTGGGAATAGTTTGTAGCCGGTTTAGAGCAGAGGTTGCTCCAGCTACGGCGGTTCAGCCATTGACGATTGAGCTGGTGAGTGTGTCAGGGTGCGAGACCCTGAATGAATGATACGGATCCCAGAGCCGAGGACGGAAGATTGATTAGGAGTACCTCAATGAGAGAGGTTCAGGTCAGGTGGATTAGTGGAGGATCTCGGGCGGAGACCCAAAAGTTCGGAGCAACTTTTGAGAGGCCAGCAGGACGGATCCAGTGCAACGCTTGCGGAACTGCACGATGGAGTTTCATTCCAAGGGTTTGGATTGTCATTGGGATCGGAATAAAGTGTTACATCATATTCTTAGGGTGGTCGAGGTAACTCAGGAAGAGGTGGTCAGGATTCCTCCAGATGTTGCGGATATGCTATCTTCGGCCATTCCCGATGGATATCGGGAATTTGCACCGCTTTGGAATTGTGATAAGTTAGATCTCGGTTCGGTTCTCTGCTATTGTCTGGGTTAGCAAGGGTTGTCAGATGCCATACAGTATGTCAATGAATCTTTGAGGAATCTTTAGACGGACGTATCTCGCGGAGTGGGTTCCGCATATACCGCGATGGAGGTGGGAGGAGTCACCATGGTTCATTCTCAGCTCGTCTTTAATGTAAAGACATGAACCAGACAATGGAGAAGCTTGGTGTTCTTAAGTTTGAAGTTTGTCAACTGGCTGAAACCAAAACATTTGAGAAAGGGTATCGTTCTGCTTGGTTCAAATGCAAGGTATCTCTTCATTCAATTACTTAATACTGTTGTCATTTTAGTGTAAATAATCTAGATGAAATTATGATTTATGATATATTATTTTTCCCTTCATCAGATTAAGGATATAAGCTTGAAGAAGAACAAGATTTTACCTGAGTACTATGATTTTCCAGATGAAGGTGAGTTGACTAATCTTATGACTTATGTTATGAATGGAAGTATGTTCCTATTTCTATCATTTAATCTTTTCTATAAATTTATCATAGAAGCATGGATTCTACTTCTAGTTATACTTTAATTTCATTTGCAGAGATTAAATGGGCAAATATATATGAAATTCCTCCTTATGGTAGAAAGTCAAAGAATATTAAAAAACAACTGATGGTTCGACCTCAAATTCCTCAAATATATCACAAAAATGAAATGCCACCTGTGAATTGAATTTCAGAAGTATGTGTTATCATTGATGGTGTATGGAAGAGTGGGGATTTGGTAGATTGGTTTGAAGATGATTGTTATTGGTCTGCAAGTATTATCAAAATATTGAGTGATGAGAGGGTTAAGGTAATTGTTTTAGAAAAAGTAATAACTTTTTTAATTATTATTATATGTTTTTCTTGTCTATAATTTTATATCTTGTGTAGATAGAGTTGCCAAAGCCTCCGGCTGGACAAGGGAAGGTTTATGTAGCATTTTGTAAGGATCTACGCCCTTCCTTAGATTGGTCTCCAAGTAAAGGCTGGATAGTGCCTACCATGGTACTTTTCCTTTTTCCTATTATAGCAATGTACTTTGATTCATTTTATAAAATTTGAGAGATTAGGGTTTATGTTTAAAGGAATATTAACCTAATCATTTCAAGTCCCCAAAAATACTACTTATAGAGGTTAAAATAAAAGAAAATAAATTGTGTATGCCAAAATAATACGGTGTTATATGTAAATTATATACGCCTATAATGTTTAAATTTTTTGCTTCATAGAGGAAAGTTGATGGAATTTGAATTTCATCATTATGCTAAACATATCTTCATTGTTGATAAATTTCACATGCAGAGAGGTCGGACTTCATGTAATGCACAACTTATTTTCTCATCACCAAAAGGTAAAAAAGTAAATTACATGCGAATAACACTTGTAAATTTTGTCATCTGTCCCACTTTTTTGGGTGGGACAAAAAGTTGTACTTTTTTGTCCTACCAAAGTTTTGTCCTATTGACATTAGTAGTACAACGTACCATGTCATGTCTATGTCATGTCTGGTAATGGTTTTTAAATAAAACCACATCTTTTGTTCTAATAATTAATGTCATATGTCTCGAAATACAAATTAAACATTCTAATTTTCATGGATTTTGTATTTTTATGGTAAACTGTAACATCTTTTAGGCATGGATATTGAGAGGGAGGAAATTGCTACGCCTCTAAATGCATCTTTAACATCCCGTACATCAGTAATTTCATTAGAGGATCCAATGGAGGAATTACCGAATAGTCAAGAAGTGAAAATAGATGATGATGATGTGGAAAAGGAGAGTTCTTCACATAGTATTTCAAGTATGCATGTGGAAGAAAGTGAAAAAGAAGATGATACTTGGAAAGATGTAGATTACAACATTATAAATTTAAATATCATGCATGAAAAGATATTAGAAGCATCGATTCTTGACCTTGAAGAACTTGCTAATAGAATAAAATGGCTTAGGGCTATTTTGGATAACAATCAATCAGGGTCAGGATCTTGGATGTTTGCAGACAACATTCATCAACCAAAGTAACTTGATACAATAGTTGACTGTAAATAATAGTTTTACTTTTGTTTTTGTGGAATTGTTTTTGATGGAAATGCCTATATGATTAGTAAATTAGATGCATTGATCAAATTATGATATTTTTCATTTTACAAGATTGGATTGGGATTTAGAGGATTTTTATCAAAGTGAAATAGTTAAATGGATAACTTTACTTTGAAAACATTTGTAATAAGAAGCATGGTTACAAAAAAAATGGTTCCTTATTTCATTTTTACAAAGATCATAGATCTTACTTTAGCAAAGGAGATTACACTCTTAGTCCATAAAACCTAGAAGTTTCAACTTGCAAACATTTGCAACTAACTGAAACACAAAATGAAGAGTCGCATCTTGTCACAAAGATCATATGATTATTGAAAAGTCGAGACACAAGAACATGGAAAGTGAAGAACCCAACCGTATCACAAAGGGATGAATATGCCGATTTTGATTTGAATGGATCAAATTGTGAGACTTGTTGTAATGATGTGCACATTTCGAGTTGAAGGGACGAAGTTAGAAGCGCTTTTGGCTTCATCTGGAACTTTGTCTTGAAATTTCGAATCTGATTTCTTTGTTCTAGGGCATAGAGTGGCAAACCGTTGACTTAAAGTGAAAGTGTAGGACTGGATCGCAGTAAGATCGGAGGTTCATGACGTAGATCTTACTTAAAATTAGATCTCTTTATAGACCATGATTAAAACTTAATTTTGGGATCTTAAGATCGTACAATCGAGATCTTAACATCGATAACGATAATCAAACAAAATGGTTTAGATATAAATTTTAATTTAAAATTTTGGAAAATAAAACATAGATATGGAAGTTGATGCAACAAGTGAAAACTTGTAAAAGACAAATCAATTATTGCTGATAATATTATACTCAGAGTGTGTTTTGTATGACGAAATGAAATCATAAATGAATGAAATAAATAATGTAATGGGATGACAAAATAATCGAATGATCGTCCGTCATGCTTGTTTAGCTCGAATGAAGAGAATAAATCACTCAAAAATGTTCTTTGATATGTATAATTAAAAAACTAAATATTAAACTGAAAAAAAAACAAGGTTGTAGTTTATAAATGAGTTTGGACTCAAATGACCATTAAACTCTCGATTTTAACTCGATTAAACCACTAAACATTTGATTATGCTAAATTAGACCATAAAGTCTCAACTTTTGTTTGTTTTGTCTATTCTGACCTCATACAACCTGTTAGCTCTGGTTCCAGCTTACGTGATATCCTACTTGGTTTAAGTATGGGTAAAACGACTCAATTTAGCCAATAAACTTATAATCACACTAAATTTGACATTGAACTTTGAATTTATTTATTTATTCTTTTAATAAAACTAAACTCAGTTTTAAGTTTTTATATGTTTTTTTCTTTAGTCAAAACTAAACTAAACTTTATTTTATTTTATATTTTTAATTTTTTGGGAAATGTTTATAATTTTTTTATATTTTAATTTATTCTTGTTGAGATTAATTTTGCACAAAAAATAATAAATTAAGTAATCATCTATATGTTAATCCCTTTATTATAATGTTATAACAAACAATGTATATCGGTTGTAAAAAAATTGTTATAGAAAATTTGATGTCATTTAATTTGATATAAAAGAATGTTAATGAATGTGGCGAGTACATGTATTTTTTAAGAATTTGAAAGCATTGTGGTTATTATAATGTATAATCATATTTAACATTTCGTTATATTAAGCGTACCATTGAATTAAAACTGAGTAAACTAATATTTGAGCCCTCAATATATTTATATATATTTATATTTGTAATTTCCGTCCAACTTTATTATTATTATTTTATTTTGTGAATTTATAATTCTTTTTATACTTTAGTTTTTTATTGAAGTTTTTATAACTTTTTTTTTTCTTTTCCAAAAAACCATATTTTTAGCGAAAAAAAATGTAAAAAAAGAGAAATAATAATACTATTTGAATCAAAATAAAAAAAATAACATTAGAAAAACCATAAATAACAAATTACAAAAAACTGAAAAACAACTCAAATGCCAAAATTGTAATATACTCTAATATATTCATACACTTTATACTTTTTGAAAAAGGTCAAAAAAATTATCAAATTGATGGAAAATAAAACCAAAAAAAATAGGAAAAATAAAAATAATGAAAAGTACTTAAAAATTTGAGTTTAGTTTTAATAAAAAATTTTAAAATTTTAAAATTTTTAGATTTCATAGTCTAATTTAGCGTGATTAGAAGTTTAATGTTTAAATCGAGTTGTTTTACCGCCACTTAGGCCACATTGGATGCTACATAAGCACGAGAACTGACTAACCGGGTGCACGAGGTCGGAATGGCCAAAGTGAACAAAAGTTTAGACTTTAGGGTCTAATTTAGCATAATCAGACGTTTAGTGGCTAAATCGAGTAAGAAAAATGAGAGTTCAATGATCATTTGAGTCAAAACTCATTTATAAAACAATTTTCAATTAAATAAATTGCATAATTTTATAGAAAACAAGCTAGCAAGAAGATAGAATTACATGAGTTTTGTATCAAACTCATGTAATTCTAGCTTCTTGCGAGCTTGTTTACTATAAAATTATTGATGTTAAAAAAAAAGAAAATTTGTTGGTGCATTTTGGTGTACGTGAATAACAATTCATACCAATCGCTTTTCTTCTAATGATATAACATAGTCAAATCTTTGTTAATGGTCCCTGTGGTTTCCCTGAATATTAAGTTTAATCCATTTCTTTTGGTCTCATGAAAGGTTTATGTGGTTTTAGAAACCCTGAATATTAAGTTTAATCCATTTCTTTTGGTCTCATGAAAAGTTTATGTGGTTTTAGTTTATATCGTTGGCTCCATGTTCCATCTAAAAAGATTTTTATACCATTTTTATTTTTTATCTTTTATTAACTAATTTTAACATACAAAAGGAGAAAGAAAATTAAAAACCTTATTAAACCTAACCCACACCTCGTCTTATTCCCTACCGATTTCAATCCCTTATGCCATTCCTTTTCATCGTCGGTGACAAGAAATGAATTGAGTGTAGGTTGGAGAAAACGAATGGCTCTTATGAAATCGGGTGCACATATGTGAGTATCGAAACTAAAATAGATTCCCCAGTGGGTTTGAAAGTCCTCTAAACCTGTGTGCGTGTTAGCCCTTGTTCCTCCGACGGTGGGACGATGGTGATGAACAAGGCAGGGGTTCGATTGTGCTTGAAAGATGGTAATTTATAATGGTGATTTGAAGTTGTTGTGGTGTTGGAATGGAGGGATAAGGGTGGTCGATGGTTATTCCACACCCTTTAGTCGGAGTTGCAGGCGTGTAAATTATAGCCTATCCCCTTCCTTAAGCTCGACTTCTAGAAATCTCAAGGAAATCGAGACCCAGGGCAGTGTCTCTTTTCGAAAGCGATTGTTTCTTTTCGGTTCCAAGTCAGCCAGGGAGATGTTCCTGGCGGTACCAAGCATCAGTGGCGTAGCCACATTAAGTCAAAGGCGAGCCTTGGTCCATCCACAAAAATTTAATTTCTTACATATATATATATATATATATATATATATATATATATATATATATATATATATATATATATATATAATCAAATGAGAACACCAAAAAGGTTGAGAACGCGAGAACACTTCTGGACCAATCATTTTACAAACGTATATTAGTAATTGCATATTTAATTTGAATTATAACAAATCTTAATCTCCTAAATTTTAGCAATATTAATTACAGTTACTTAAAATAATAGATTAACGGATTTTTATTTTATTTTTTTGTTAATATATAACGAAAATAATTTTTATTAACTTTTTGTTAAAAAAGTCATTTTTTTTAAATTTATCATTCATCAGATATTATATGTATAAAGATTGAAAAAACACTTTTTCTTTTGTATTCATAAATGAAAGAAAACATACATTAAATTAATTTTTTTCAACAGTTTTATTTGGTTTGATTATGTTAATTGTGAAGGATTATATATAACAATAAAAAATGGATTGAGTAAAACACCATCCAAAAAAAATAACTAAAAATAAAGACTCAATTCAATCGTAATCATAAACGTATAAAAGTACATTTACAAATATAGAAAACCAATACATCTGGAATCATTAATGAATAAAGGAAAATGTAAAGATAAAAAAATCTACTTTAGTTGTAATCACAAATGACTGAAGAAGATAAAAAATTTAGTTTGCTGCGATTCTTCTTGTTGCTACCAGCACACACAAAAACAAAGAAGGGCACATGTGATCATTGTTATTCTTGGGTTCACACCTGCAAAATCAAGTTCAAGGATAATTAAAAAAATCAGATAATAACGTTGTGTATACATATTCACTGATTCACAAATGAATGTATGTTTGTCTTTTGATGGCAGAGAAAGGAAAAAACTTTTTTAGTTTTTACCATAAACCTTGTAATGAATAAAGATTTATTCATGTATGATGATAACTAAAATCATGTATGATGATAACTATAATCATGTATTAACACTGATGAATAAATTGAATAGAGCTGAAAATCATAAATGATTAACACTTAAAAATCATGATCAATTTATAAACTGATCACACTTAGATAGTGGAGCAAGGAAGCAACATACACGAATTGAACAATCAAATTGCAAAGACGTGTTATTGTACTTCAAAAAGCAACTGCTTTGTTTAAATTTTAAAATTCTATAATTGATAATTAGTTTAACATGACATGACTCACTGGCTAGTGGATTTATAATCAAACTGCTTTCAGGGTTAAGATTAATGCATCATCAAAACAATGAATAAAAACGCAGAACCATGTCTGTAATTTGTAAACATCCTCAAACAAACTTACAATGCAATGCAATTTGTAAATTCCTCAAATCAAAAGAAAAGAATAAGAATCAGTTTAAGTGTTCTAGTAAATCAGGTACCTTGTCAAACGTGAAAACCCTATCGATTTGCATCCCAACAACACTCTGTGAAACCGCAACTTCTCTTTGATACTCATTACACGTTACCACCTGAGGTGCGTTGTTCCTTAACTCGTCATCACTAAAAGGCCTAACAAACAATCATAGATCCACACACGAATTAGATTATCAAAAAGGGAATCTCGAAACCGTAATCGAAATCAGGAACAAACAAAAACGAAAAT